AAACTTGTTTTCATGGCAAACAATTCTGTGCTTGACAAAGACATGAAAATTTCTTTTTTCCATGTCTTTTCATTCTGTATTAACTAGCTTAAATGTTCATTCACAGATATGCCTGTCTAAATTTGCTGAGGTGACACTTTGTGCTGAACAAAAACCTGTTGATGCTTTAAGAAAAGTAGACTAACGGATACGAGAACGATGCTGAAACAAGATGGGAGAGTTGTCCAGTGTGTTTTGTCTCAGTATTTCTCCTTTTAATTGGGCAATCGGAAATATAGTAAACAGTGGTTTACTAACAAAGGTTGAAACAGTGGTGTTTACCTTTCAACCTTAAACAAGCAGTTTCTGTTTGAGCTGTAAAACATCCAGAAATATTGATGTCATTAAAGGAAAAAACAGACATTTGAGGGAATATTTCAATATATGCAGCATTTCATATTAAGCACAAACTTATTTTACTTATTTAACAATATACATGCATCAGGTATAAACAGATATTATTGTACTATGTGGCATCTTTATGAAATGTAGAAAGTAATTGGATTTATTCCAGTATCTTTTTTGATGATGTTTGGGATACAAACTGTTGCATGCTGGTTTACATCACAAATCTTGTGCATGCTTATTCAGAAGTAAGACCCACAGTGTGTAGTGGAACTTACTAACCTGTGTGACTACAAGTTCAGATGTATAAATGCCTTACAGTGTAGTCTTATGCACGTTTATTTGAACATGAGTCCTATTTATGTTCAGTGGAGTTTATAGCCAGGAAAGTGGGTAAAGGATTGAAGCCTTAGTTTAACCAGCAAAACTATGGATTTATGCAATGCTAGGTAGAGAAATACAAACTGCTGCACTTGGATGCTACCAAAAGACATGTATCTTAATTATTGTTTTCTGACAAGTATGAAAAATATCAGTTGGCTATACAAACTACAAGTTTTATAGTAAGCAAAAGAATGTCTATTTAGATCAAAACCATTCTATACCTTCACAACATTAAGAACTAATAGCATATTTGGACACCAAGTGGAAACTTTATAACACAGAACTCTACAGTATACAGAAAACTTGTCATTCTCTAATGGGCAATATTGTCTAACAACCAAATTTTCAGCCTTTACAATTTGAGTGAGTAAAATCTTGCCTTGTTCAAATCTCCACTATTTACAAATTACTAAGAGCTGCCAGTTCACATGACCCTTGGGCTAATGTTAAGTGCTTGGAATTCCTGTGCATTTTGGCTCTCTGCCCATAGACAGCAGATTGTATATAGTCACTGCCATATGCAGGATTTAGTTCTTTGTACACTGCTGCAAACATAACTTGTGTGTGTTTGTGTGGATATGCTGAGGTTGTAATCCAGTGTGAAGGAATAGCTGCAGCAGATGAGCCAGCCTAAGCAGTAATATCAAGCAAATACCAGATGGGTTGTCAGATATAGGAACCATTCCAGGGGGATTTAATCTGGGACTTGAGCATCCTTGCATGGGAGGCCGCTATGAAGACATTGACTGAGGCCTTCATTTATCAACAGGCAAGTTTTCATAAATGGTAATGCCCAACTCTTTACAGAGAGCTTATTCTTGTGAACAAGCAGTTATAGAAATGTTTTGTCTCACTTTCTCTAGGCTCCCACTCTGACTTCTACTTTGGACTGTTTAGATCTTGTTTTGGCTCAGTGGTACATACTGGAGATTTTGCTGGTGTGTTGCTTACTTCAATATTCAGCTATTTTGCTACATGAGTTGCTGAAGGTCAGCTGGATGTAGTGCTGAGGTCTGGGAGATGAACCAAAAGTTGCCCATGTCCAAGCTTGTTCACAGAGTGGTGAAGACATTGAATAAACATTCTTTCTCCACCTTGATTGTGAAGAAATGTTACTTTTCTGTATCCATTGCTTTTTGCTATATTATCCGTCTGAGATTGACTGGGCCTTAAGCAGAATATGGAACCTTCAGATGCAGGCTGTGATGCATTTTTGAAGTGTTTCCAGGAAAAATGCTCCTGCATTCACCAACACTTAGAATCTGGTAAAGCAGTTGTGTCCAGTTTTATGGGATGAATATCAGGGGTAAAGAACATTAATGGTGTGCTTTGGACAGTTTATGCAGCTACTTCCAAATTAGGTCCTTGCTTATTAGGGATGATTAAAACTGACAGGAGGGTATAGTCAGCTCAGTTACAAAGGTTACTCATACTTTTTTGTGAGAGGACATGGTCCAGGGCTACTTGAAAGAATGAATCCCTTATCAATTAAGACCATTAGCACAGAACCTTGTGCAATGTGCTTGAGTGGCTGTTACCCACTAGCTCCAGATACTGTTGAATAAGATCAATTATCTATATCCTTCTCAGTTGAAGTTCAGACCAGTTTTTGGTATAAAATCAACCTTGATTATCATATATAATCTGTCAGAAGAGAGACATGGGGAGTGTTAAACCCATTGATAGGCCTTGATTTTTTTTCCAGTGGCTTTTGATACCATTCATCATGGCACCTTCTGGGGTGACTATCTAAGATGGAGTATATGTAGGGGCACAGGTGTTGCTCTTACTTGGCTGGTTGGTTCCAGAAGGTGGTGCTTTGAGAATTTTGCTTGGCCCTGTAGATTCTTCAGTGGCAGGTTTTACAGGGTTCTTTTTGTTTCTGGTTGTGATAGTAGGCTGGATGAGGGCCAATGAATGGAAACGCATCCAGGCACAAAATATTGCATGGGCCTGTTGGCCCCTGAAGGTTGCTTATCTCAGGCTTTATGCATCAGCTGAATTTATTATGGTTTTCACTGAATTTATTCTGATCGTTCTATTGGATGGCTGTATTAAAGTGGATAATGGTTTCAGCAGATTAAAATAATTTTCTAATTTTGTTGCAAGTCACTTTGACTGAGTTTTTTTTAGTAAAGGTCATAAGAAACCAATAACCAATAAAATATAGAAAGGGAACCTCTCTCCCAGCCACTGTTCTGATGTCTGAAGTGGAGTCCAAATGGTGCCCCCTTATCCTTGGTAAAGACAACAGTGTGAAAGGGTTTGCAGCACTGTTCAGACTCTGATGTCTGCGCTCACCCCTTTCTCCCTGCTTTATGGTGCCACCTGAAGCGGTTCCTATCAATTTCTGCATGGCTAGACCTGCCCGGGTTACATCAGTGGTTTACGTCTCTGTGACAGCTGCTTTGTATCTGAGTTACCTCATGCTAACCATACTTATTTCCCTATTCCCTTATCATTCTCTTTAGGCCACTCCCATGTTTGCTCTTCTGTTGTTACTTTTGCTGGTTTTGCTTTGTTTGTATAGCTAGTTATTGTACAGACGGAAGCAGAGGCATGGAAATGGTTTGCCAATATTCACAAAGTCCCTGTCCCATTCCAATAACTTTGCATATCTTGATCACGTGGAGGAATCTGAAAGTTATTCGACACTTGCAAATTCAGGATATAGAGAAGTTCTGGAATAAATATCAGGTTGAGAAATGGTTGGGTATTGATTTGTCCAGTTTCATCCAGTGTGGAAAAAATGGAATATTACTTAACTGGTGCTAAATCCATGAACAGATGGTGATTTATATATGAAAATTTTATTTTATTTATAGGTAAAGGAATAGATCATCTTGATTCTAATTGATCACTCACACAGAAAACTATTTGAGTGATCAATTTGATGCATTCAGAAATGTTTGGAACTTTTACAGAGGTGCATGGCATATTGTGCTTCAACAAAAATCCGGAAATTAAGTCAAGAATGCTGGAAATTCATCTGCAGATTTTTGTTTTACCACAAACATCCATTGAAAGAAAAAAGATTGATTAGTGTATTATCTGCTGGTACTGGATCAGCAGATTATTCCTAATCATGGCGATGGAGTCAGAAGAAGTGGAGGTGGGAGTCACCGAATAAGGAGTGGGAACAGCAGTATGGAAATAATGAGGTGGCATTTGGAAGCCCAAGCACAATGGGTCTCCTCAGACTCCAAGGGTGTAAGACAGGCCCTTTGAGAAGTAGAATCAATAGAACAATATCAGAGGGTGGGTAGAAAGATATAGCCAGTAGATACATTTCAAAAGATGAGAGACACAAATTGCTTGGGCCGGATTACCTGGAAGAACACAGTTAATCAGCTGTTGGACATGAGATTTGGGCTTGATCTAGATGGCACTGAAGACCACAGTGTACTTCCATCCTTTCAAAGGCTAATATTTCCAAAGATGATGCCCAAAGACAATACTGCAAAACCCAGCAGTCCAACCTGTTATTAGAAGATCCTTATTAGCAAAGTTATGAGATTCTGGGTCCCTACACAATGTAGAGTGCAGTTCAGAAACAGAATAGTGAATGGGAAACACTGAATGTCTCCCTTGGCATCCTGACTCATACAAAGACAATAATGAACATGGAGAGATATTTAAAAGTTGGGGTCTGAGGTCCCAGGAAATCTTAGTACTATGCATTTGACACCTAGCTTGGCCACAGATGGAATAAAGCATTCTGCTTAAAGTTGATCGTTCATAAAAGTGTTCCCCCTAAAGCTGCAAGGCATGGCTCCAAGAGGCCCACTGAAGGTCAGTAGCCCCTTGTGGTCACATGCCCACAGGCTCTTGGATGTACCAAGCAGATAAATGAGTTCACAGAGAGATTTAAGTGGAAGCACCAGTGGATACTTAAACTGGGCGAAGCTATATTTGTGTGTTCAAAGCAGTCAGGTAGTTGAAATTAAAAAGAAAAACCCTGGGAATATGGGGTAGGTGGCAGAGCAGGAAGTTTAATTGTCAGTGAGGCAGAGAACATTTGAGTCCCTCAGTGGGGCCTGTTTTCAAAGAATGGGGTCACTCCAGCTGCTGTGGAGCAGAGTGTAAGATGTGCCATAGCAGTGCCTAAAGCCAATCAAAAAGACCAAGCTGCCCCATCTGTTGAAACGGCCATTTTAAATACATTGGCTCAATCTCTGTGACTGCAGTGTTTACAGCCTGTTGCTGACTAACTTTCTCTTTCTCACCTGCAGGCAGAAATTGTCAAGAGGCTGAATGCCATATGTGCTCAGGTCATTCCCTTCTTATCCCAAGAGGTAAGTGTGTGTGTGTGTGTGTGTGTGTGTGTGTGTGTGTGTCAGTCAGGGGGGAGGAGTTGTTTGTACGTGCTGACTTCAGATTGTTTGCCTTAACTAAAGAAGAGTAAAGCTGGAGCTGTGTGGCAACACAATGTTCTCAAGTGTCTGTAATTCATTTTTCTGCAGTTTCCTGCTTTATCCACCATCATTTCTCCATTGTGCTAATGTTCACTTGGATGAATGTGTGAGGCACTTTTACATGGTGGTCCTCAGTATTTATGCCAACTGCATACCTACCCTCAGCACTGGTATAAAAGAAAACAAATCTTGCTGGATTAGGTTGAGGTTCATCCAACATTCAATTTCCGATGGCAGCAAGCCAGATGGCTCTGGAAACTCACAAGTATGGCATTAAAGTTATACAGTGCCTTGTAAAAGTATTCACCCACTTCTTTGGCTTTTTTTTTAAACGTTACAGTTTGGAATTGGATTTAACTGGCATTGTTCCCTCTTGATGTACAGAAGATATTCAGTGCTATAAAAATGCAAAATGTTTTTATTGTGGCACAAAAGTTAAGTAATGAAATGAAATTGGCACTTGTTGGTTGCAGAGGTATTCACTCCCCTGTGTCAGTGCTTGGTGGAAGCACCTTTCACAGCAATTGTAGCTATGACTCTTCTTGAGTAGGCCTCTCTTAACTTCGCTTATCTGGATCCTGTAATGTTTGACCCTTCTTTCTGGCAAAACTGCTCCAGTTCTGTCACATTTGATAGGGACTTCTGGGGAATGTGAACCTTTGAGTCTTGCAATGGAGTCTTCATCAGCTTGAGTTCTTGGCTTTGACTGGGCCATTCTAAGACATTCAGGTTCTTCTTTTGAAACCACTCTGGTGTTACCTTGGCTATCTGTTCAGGGACATTGTTTTGCTGGAAGGTGAACCTCTGCCCCAGTCCTAGTGGCTTGTAGAACAAAACACGCTTCCCCCTAGAATTATCCTGTATTTTTCTCCATCTTGCCCTCAGTCTTGATCAGCTTCCCAGTTCCTGCCAAGGAAAGCATCCCCATAATACACTTCTGCCAGCACTATGCTTCACCTTCTTCTCAGGATAATGAATACTCATGGCTCTATGCCACATTTAGTGCTTTCAGCAAGGCCAGAAAGCTCTGTTTTGGTCTTGTTAGACCACAGAATCCTTTCCCACATATTTACTGTGTCTCCCATATGCCTTTTTGCAAATGCTAACTGTGGTTTGATATGGGTATATTTCAACACTGGCTTTCTTCTAGCCATTCTTCTATAAAGCCCAGCTTTGTGGAATGTCTGGGTCTGTTCATCACATGGATCTCCCCAGCTTCTTCAGAGTTACTGTTGGCCCCTTGGGTAGTTCTCTGACTAATGCCATCCTTACCCGGTTGCTGCATTGTGCAGGGTGGGGTGGGGCTTCTCTAGGCAGAGTCACAGTTCAGTCATATTATTTCCACTTTGTAATAATGGCTTTAGCAGTGCTCTGGTGCATATTCATGGTTTGGATTCTTTTTTAAATAACCCAGTGCTGACTTGTGCTTCTGCACAACTTTACCCTTGAGTTGTTTTTATAGAACCGTCCTTGATCTTCAGAGTGCTGTTTGTTTAGATGTGTTCTCCAACAAATGCTGGGATTTACAAGAAACAGGCATATTTAATCTACAATTATCTAACAGTAGAATTATACACAATGACACCATAAAACTACTTTAGGTATGGGTTGCACCAGAGTTTATTGAGGCATATCACGGCAAAGGGAGTGAACAGTTAGTCAAGCAACAAGTGCCAGTTTGCTTTTGTTTACCTGACTTTTGTGCTGCAATAAAAAAAAATAGTTTGCAGCTTGACAGTGTAGAATATCTTGTGTATATCAAATAGTAACAATGCCAGTTAAGTGTATTTAAATTCCAGGTTGTAGCACAACGGAAAATCAAAAAGTCAAAACTGAGGCTGAATACTTTTGCAAGATACTGTAACCATTTCTTGTTGTTTAGTCCCAGAATGTAGTGCTTAGAGGTACATTGCCTCAGAATGCAGAAGTTGTAGTGGGCTATTGATAGACCCATCTTCCAAGAATATACCTAATCCTTTCTTTCCAAAGCAATTTATGTTAGCTTCTGTTTCCATATCTTGGGAAGGTGAGTTCTGTAATGTTTGTTTGTGGAGTTGGCAGCATGTATGCTTGCACTATATGCTGTTTTGTCCCGCTGCAGGACACATTATGGTTGGGCTGTTAATTATATAAAAATGTTTGCCTGTCATGTAAGTGCATTGGTGCTCAGAAAGATAAGTCTGTCGAGCTGGCATCTAATAGGATATACTGAAAAATTGCTGGAAATGCACGATTTGTGCAGCATTCTTGACAGTTGGTGTTAAGCTTGGCAGAAAATAGGAAGAGCCATCAGCTGTTGATGTGCTAGACAGTAGACAGCCTAATGCAGGTGCCCCTGCACAGTTCCTGGTTCCCCTCTGTTTTAGCTGTAGTGATGAAGCACATTATTTTCATACCAGAATACCGAGGTTCAATTCCCGGCCTCTCCAAATATGGCTGAAAAAGCCTGCTTAAAACTGTGGTGAGCTACTCAGTAGATTTGGCAATACTTATATGGATGGACTTGTGGTCTGAATCTGTATAAGGCAGAATCTTATTTGTTTGTATTCACCAAGGGATTTTTTTTAAAATCCATCCACTTGCAAGTTAGTTTGGAAAGTTTCTCAAAACATATGTTCCAGAAATTCTTTAATGCTTCCCTAGTGGATGCAGGACCCTCAGTGAAATATCAGGCTCTAGGACCATTTTGGTAATTTGCTTTCATGGACCTGGATTGTGGGAAATAATAATAATAATGTGAGAAATATAAAAATATATTTTTTAAAGCCATTAAAATGTCATGTGAATTAATAGTGGATTACTACTGGTGTGATGGAGAGCAGGGCTAAATGAATTGGAAGGACTTTCAAGAAGGGATCTTTTCATGCATCATTCAATACCTGTGTCTAGTGGTCATTTCTCTTTCATTCTGCTTCCTGGTCATCCTGAGAAAAGCGGTTAGGGTCTCTGTACATCATCCTCACTGCATGGCAATCTCTTGCATCTTGTGGGCCCAACACACTTCAGGCATCTTTGTTGCACAGTTTAGTCAAGGGTGGAAATGGAGTTTGATTTAAATGAATCTTTTCATTGTATTTAATAGGCCATGGTGTCCCAAAGGCAAAAATACCCCCTGAATAGAGCAGATGGAATAAAATAATGTGGTGTTTCTCCACCCTTGGCCAGCGAGCCACAAAGGCCAGCCTAAATAAGTAGGTCTTGCGGTGCTTCTTGAATAGTGCTCAGGTGTGGATTTTGAGTCAATAACAGAAGGGAATTCCATAATGGGAAGGGACATGGCATTTTTATTTTATTTTTTTTTACTACTGATGCTTAAATCTAATATGGGGTCATATCATTATGAGTGTACCCTGTGGATTCTTGAGATTGGGAAAAGGTCTAAAGGAAGAAGTGATCTGCTAAGGTACATTGGACTTAAGTCTCCTAGTTTTCATAGATTATAAACACTACCTTGAATTGTACTAGGAGAAGAGTAGTGGTTCAGTGCAGTTGTTAGAGCATTAAGATAAGTTACATGGTGCAGTGCATTACAGAGGATTGCTGGAAACTTCGGCAGCTTACACTTTCAAAACAGCCTTTTCAGAAAGTTTTAGAGAAGTGTCAACAGTTAGCATTACTGGAAGGCATCCTGGCCACTACTAAAACCAGCTTTTTCCAGTCTTTAATTGTGGATTGGGTAGAAAGGCAGGGAGTGCAGTATGTCCGTGTTACAAACCTAAACTGGCCATTTCTCAGAGTTCCTTGGAGAAAATCATGACTTTCAGCTAAAGTTGAGAAGGAATTGACATTTATCATGTAAATGTCAGGTGTGCAGTACAGAATGTCATCAAGTGTGCTATTGGGACGTAATACAAGGTGCTTGCTTGCAGGTGTCTCATGTTACTTACCTGTCTTTTGCAGTTGCTTCTTTAGGTGCTTCCCTTTGAAAGTCTGAAAGGATATTTTCCACTTCTGTTTTCCATTTAGTGATCCAGTTTAGAAAATGAGATTTGTTTTTCTTGTTTAACTGGCAGGGCATATGAGAAAATGGCCTTCTTCTGATTTTTTAATAGATTTCTTTATTGAAATCACAGATACAGCTTTTTTCTAGTGCTTGTTTAATCATCTTATTGATTTCATAAGCACACAGGGAAAGACAACCCCCTGATCTCAAAACCCATTGATAATACTGTTGGTGGAACTTTCATACACAAAGATGTCTTCCCCACCCAGTGTTTCATATGTACCATCATACTTACCTAGAAGCGGATTGGTGTCCTGCAACATCAGGGGGCTGGACCTGCTGGCCTTCATGGCCTCTTCCGAGTCTACTATTCTATGATCCTATGATTTTGAAAAGGGCTACAAGAGAAATACTTGAAGGCAGAAATAACTTATGGAACGCATAACCCCTGCCCATGTTGAATGGGGTCCTGAGCCATTTACAACCAGTGGAAGCTTAGTTAGAAAAGTCTCTTCTTTAGTTTCAGTCCCTCTGTGTACTCTTCTCACCAACTTGCCATCTGGCTGGCCACAGGAAGTGAAATCTCAGTGCCAGTAACCACATACTTTTGTTTAAGCAATGACTTCTCAGAACTGCACTGATCATTGGACAATCATTCTGAAGTGTGCCTAATTATGTGTTGCTCCCATTTTTCTTCATAAGATGTTTTGAAATCACAATCATGGTTAACAATATTTAGTGTGAGAAATATAGCTGAGAAGTACAAAATTGGTGACTTCTGCAGAACGTTGTAACTTCAGTGTTACTCTCTCTAGTTCACAGCCCATAGCACAGCATTCCCTATCCTGTAGTCCAAAACTTCCATCATCACCATCCAGCTTGGCCATATCTGGGAATGATGGGAGCTTTACTATAACGAAAGTTGGGAAAGGTTGCT